GCGCGAGTGAATGCATGTTCGAAATCTCAATGGCTCCACCGGCTCAGACATCAGTAAATTTCATGCTTATACCGCGGCCCATTTCTGCGGCCCCTTTGACGGTGGTGGAGGACATGCTACCATGTCTGGCGTGCCATACGTGGCCCGGTCATGTCACGCGTCGAACCCCTCCCCAGCCCCAGCGGCGGCCGCGCAACTGGTCGTGATAAGGCGCAACTGGCGGCCGTCGGCAGCCTTTCGGTCGGCCGGCACGCCCGCGGCGACCCTGAATGGCGCTCTGGTGACACACGACCGTCTTACCGCCGCTGGCCCGGCCACACCCGCGGCGGTGACCGCCTGTCAACATCGCGCGGGGTCGCGAAACCGCCCGGCGCACGCAGAACGGTTACGCCACGGGGCGGAAACGGCCTAAAAATGCGTGGAGTTACGAGTACGGGGCCTGGGGCACGCGAGGTGGCTAGGGGTGAGAAATTAAGAACCCGTAAGCAAGATATTTGTATGTAAGTGGAATGCTGATTGCTGTTTCTGCCTGGTAGTTTATAACTTCTTTGTTGACTGTCTTTAGATCGGTTTGGTTTGCACAATTCTTTCAAAGAATGTGACCCATGCATTCGACACACGAGTGGTTCGGTATCTAGAGCTGCCCAGTGGCCAACACTATCAGGATTATTGTATTGTTACGCCTCGGGCGACCTTTCTTTACATTGTTTAGCCCGGCTAATAGGAAGCCGAACAAGGTCATCTTTCTCTCGCGCGTTGTAAGGTGTAACGGCCGGCGACCATTTGGGTCAGGTCACCTGATCGCCCTATCACTAACTGTGGTATTGTGGCCTATAAGGGCAAGTTTTTTTTTGGCTCAATATCGGCAGCGATCTGAGTTCCATAACATATGCTACCCCCTGTAAAGTGGAGCTGGGGTGAAAACGTTCGCACCTGGGTTACGAAAGGCATAGTTCAGTGCGTTGATGTTTTATTATCTCTCCCCTTCACGGAACGTTATGCGCCAAACTCCATATATGTAGAAGCGGACATTGGGGTTCAGATTGTTATTATGAGTAAAATATAAGTCATTTTCTTCATTAAACGGTTGTTTCTCTATGCGGCGATCATTTATGAAGCACGCCACACTTTGTTACCAACGAGCGATATCATAATAGCTCCATTTTTGGCAGTATACTGGCTGCGGCCGAGTGCGACGGTGGCGCCGACTATCGGCTACTCGTGCAACTAGGCCTCGCGGTGGCTCCGGCGGCCAAACTTCAGATGAAAACGTCCCTGTGTGGAGACTTAACGATAAACTGAAAAATGCGATATAATGCAATTAAATTCAGTAATATGCGTTTACCCTGACGTATTTTTTACCAATATTCGGGGAGAATTGGCACCGGGATTTGGCAGGAGAAGATAAAATGTTTATGAACATTCCAAATTGTATTATACCTACATTGCATTGTCAAAATATGTCTCAATATATGCGAGACGTCATGCTGTTTGCCGTAGTATAGCGAAATTGTTTCATGAAAGACTCAATACAAATATAACGGGAGTGATGTATCTTAATTTCATTTGGTGGTGCAAATATTTTTTTCTTCCATGTCCCGATCCCGGGTCGAATTTTTCTCTCCTATGGATAAAAAGTGCAGAGATGTGTTGCTCAGTTAGTGAGCTACAGCGTAGTATAGCGACATTTTTATGTAAGCTGCCTATTTTTTCATACTCTAGTTTCCACGAAAATCCGTGCATACACTGACCAATATTTTTTTTCCATGGCCAGATCCCAGGTCCAATTTTTATCCGCTATGGATAAAAAATGCATAAATATGTTGCTCAGATGGTAATCTACAGCGTAGTATAGCGACATTTTTATGTAACTACCCTATTTTTTCATACTGTGCTCATTTCCACGAAAATCCGTGCTTACGCTGACCAACATTTTTCTCTTCCATGGCCAGATCCCAGGTCCAATTTTTATCCGTCATGGATAACAAATACATAGATATGTTGCTCAGATAGCGAACTACAACGTAGTATAGCGACATTTTTATGTAACTTCCCTATTTTCTCACACTGTGCTCATTTCCACGAAAATCCGTGCTTACACTGACCAACATTTTTTTCTTCCATGGCCAGATCCCGGGTCCAATTTTTATCCGCCATGGATAAAAATACATAAATATGTCGCTCAGATGGTGAACTATACCGTAGTATAGCGACATTTTCATGTAACTTTCCTATTTTTTCACACTGCGCTATCACCCATCAAAATCCGTGCTCTCACCGACCTTAGTTCTCTGGCGTTGCCGATAGGCGGCGCTGGCGTCGCGTCCCGCGCTATGGCCGCGCCTGGCGCATAACGATATTTTGAGTGCCTGACTTGAAAAGATCTACAAAATCCATGTCACTGTTCCAACGACTAAATTTTGGATGTCCAGAATTAGGTACCTAATCAGAAAATTCAGATTGTAAATTATGGCAGTCCTAATGTTGTCAGAACAGTATGTGCGTGATTAAAGACAACATTTTGTTTTGTGTCAACGCCCAGTAACCGCAGACCGCAGCAGGTGCTGCCATTGCGGTGTCGCTAACTCGGCCCACTACGATAGCCGTTCGGACGGTCGCGCCGGTCGGGGGGTCAGCCCCGGTGCCCGAGGGCGTGTCAGTACGATACTACGCTGACCAGGAAGGGGTCAGGGTCAGTTGTCCCGGCCCGACACGGCCGACAAGGGTGTCTTTCAGCGCCGTCCGGGTGAGGCACAGCCACACCAGTCGGCGCCATTAGCACATCAAAGAGGTGCACGGTGCGTGGCGGCCACGGTCGTCACGCGTGCACGCACACCCCAGTCCCCTGATACACGCACCAGTGGTGTCACCGGCCTGCCGATACCCCACCGGATACATTTCGTGGTGTGTAGTGTCTGTGGAACCCTGTACGCCAGGGGACGAGCCGGTGCGGGGAGGTCGACCGGCGACCTCGACCTATTGTGAGACCTGGATGGCACTGGGGACACAAACAGGGATCACTGTCCGCCTACAGCTGAGGCTGAACCGCGCGCCATTCGGCCGGGTGCTAAGCATGGTGTCGGTGTATGGAATTAGCTGATATGTTGTTCGCAGCATGACGACATCGCGATGCTGGCGGGCGGGCTATGACAGTACCAAATGGACATATTCGATTGAATGCAGATGAACGTTCTGGAGCATCAGTTTAATTTCATGTCATGGAATACAATAACCAATATAAGAGTAATTTTGTGACATGTTCCCAAAACTACTTTTGCTTCCATGTTATTGTTGCCATTTAGATTTGCTGTTCTACGGATGCCCGAGCCCCGCGTTTTTAGTGTTTCTAATGAGCATGCCATCAGCCACTCAATCAAACTGGATGGCTAAATTAGCTCATGGGTCTTGAAGGAAAATTCGGAGGTGCCTCCTATGCGTGTTGGCCCCGACCTCGACTCAGAGGTGGTATACCACCAGACCTTCAGTGGCGGCCGTACACAGGGTCTTGAGGTGGTACTGAGGTGGTGCCGATTTCCCGTGGCGCCACCTACCCAGGATTTAGTGGCCGGTTCTGAGGCGGTACCGATTTTCAGTGGCGCCACCTACGTGGGAGCTCGGAGCCGGCACTTCGCATGCACTTGGGGGCACTTCGGTGGTACAGATTTCCAGTGACGCCTCCTTACCAGGGCCCTGTTTCACCGGTGATAGCAGCACGCTGCTATCACACGTGTCAAATTGGGTTTCCATGGAAACATCAACAAACCATGCCGTCGTCAATTTGTGTGATGTCATCAAATAGGTATTGCTGCTTACATCTTCAGTCTTCACGGCCGTGCGAATGTATTAAACGCATTCAACGAGGCAGCAACTCTGTTCCAAACGTAGCTATGAAAAAGCTCACGGATTACACGAAACGTCATTAGTGTGACGTCATCACATTACGTCAGCTCGCGCAATTTGATAGTAGCGTGCTGCTATCACCGGTGAAACAGGACCCAGGTCGTCTCTAAGGTGGACTGATGATAAATGGTGAATTGATGCACTTCAAACTACCATCCTTGTTTGCGCCACCTACACAATTAATTTGGATCGATGTAGCTGGTTTGATCAAGAAAATTTTGTTTGTGAAAATTGGCTTTGTTAATGTGTAAAATGTGGACGATGTGGTTGAAATTCGTCCTATTCTGGAAGGATACGAAGTTGGAAAGAAGTGGAACACATCATCAAGATCATACACTTTCACTCATCAGCCAATCAAGAAATGAAACATCAACATGCATTGCCATAAAACGACAACAAATTTGACAGTGATAGTTGAAAGCTGAAAATGAAGGCTGCATAGATATGGCAAGAGGTGAAAACAACACATCCAACTTTTCAAGCGTCATGCATTCAATCAGTTGTTTACCCATAGCGTAATTTCAATAAATCCTAAACAGTAAACACACAAGTTACGTTACATACGTTAATAGATGTAGAGACATTTGTGCTATGAACTGCAATGTAGATAATAATTATTGCCTCGAAATAGCAGGCCGGTCTCCCTCATGAAAAATAACTGAACCAGATCTTTTTGTAGAGCAGTGTGTGATAAAGACCCAATCGCAAATGCATGAAGTGAATTGTGGCAAAGCTTGAAAGTCTGGGCATCGTAGTTGAAAGGTGGTCCCGGTGGTCGTATTAAAAATGGGCTTTTGATGTTACTGAACGGACTCTCATGGCACGATGACTGAAGGGGGAGGGGCTTTTGACAGGTGATTGAGAAAAGTAAGTCCAGGGGCAGCGCAGTAATTATTGGACCCATCGGGACTGATTTGGTAATGAACTGACCGAGCCCCTGTGTTGTGACTGGAGTGGAACCGATTGCCTGCGATTTTACAACTGTGACTGAGTGAGTACTGAGTAGTGACTGAATGTGATTGTGACTGATTGACTGAATGACTGAATGACTGACTGAATGGTTGACTGACTGACTGACTGACTGACTGACTGTGACTGACCGAGCGGCGGCGGCGTTAGGAAGTCGAAGATGCCCCTCATCTGGGCCGGACTGTACTCGGGCTCGGCCGTGTTCCACGCGTGCTCCGGCTGGATGATGAGCTGGTCCCGGGGCGGCGTCAGCACCTGGTGCAGCTTGATCAGACGCATCAGCTCCAGCTCGTCCAGCGCGTTCACGTCCTCGATGGTCTCCAGCATCAGCTGGGTGTAGTTGGGCCCTGCGCCGACAGGTGGCGGGCGGGTAGAGGGCGGACAGGCGCGGCAAGACATGGCAGCGGGGCGACGGGTGCACAGAATGTGAAGTGGTGGCCTCATATTCAAATTCAGATTGACATGAGTGTTTCGCTCGGAATTTCTCTGACTCTTGAGAAGTGTTTGAACAATTTTAACGCCCACAATTTGACGCTGTCGTTATCAAAGGTGCGAGAAATGTCGCTGCGAGAAATGTCCATAGTAATCCGGCCAATTTAACCAATTAAAGACGTGGAAGTGATATGCTCATGTCAAAATGAATTTGGTACATACATTGCCACAGTCATGCACATTTCACAAAGTTGTGTGAGCAATCACAGGGCGAGCGAAGATGTGTCATGGCGTATAAAATGACCAAAAATGCCAGTGCTCGTTGCTCAGCTCAGTAAATTGCATTGGAAGAGCTGAATGAGGTGTTGCTAAAGAAGGCAAAGACTGCACAGTGCACATGTAAGGGCGCCCTAGCATCGGTAAATGTACTTAGTAATTCAGATGTAGGTAGGCGCACACAAGCCGATTTGAAACAATCTAAAGATATAATTAGCAAACATGCATACACTCACTCATAGAACATTAATTTATTCTCATACTTTCGCAACAGTGTTAAACCTACTATCGTTTAGGCAACGCACAGAAGGGTTTGCTACTCGAATAATTCCCGCAGTAAATATTTTCGTTTATCATCGGGCGATTGCTGAGTCATCGGTATACATACTGCTGTGTGCAATGTGCATGTGAGGCCTGATGGCTCAGAGGCTCAAAACGTTGTTAGATGGATTTAAACACTTCTTTTCCGCATCCGAAATAACCCAACATTGCGAGCTGATCTATAAAAGCAATGCTTATACATGTAGGTACAGGGACCCGCAGTTGCTACTGTACAGCGACCCTGAGTAAATTGTCCCAGCACCCTCACATGGAACAACGATAAGCTGTCAGAGGGTACTCACAGGAAACCTCAGCTGCTCTTGTACAGGGACCAGCAGTCGATATCAATGTTATCGGTTGTTACTGGACAGGACAGACGGTTAGACTTGGGGTTCGTGTACAGTAGCAACTGCGGGTCCCCGTACATGTACAGTCTGTCTTAAAAGTACCGCGCAAAGTGACGGTGGATCCATCGAGCCTGACTGAGCAAGGGCCTGCTAAATTTGGGTCACCGAAGCAATTGACATCCTTGTCCATTCCCTAGGTCAATTGGTCGGTGACTTTTAAATCAAAACAGGCCTTTTCTCGGTCAGGCTTGATGGATCCACCGCCACTTTGCGCGGTACTTTTAAGACAGACTGTACATGTATATCCCGGCAGTTGCTGGGGTATTTCGCCACCCACCGTTTGCTGGGGGGGGGGAGGGGCGTTAAACGCCCCCAGCCGATAACTCGAGAACCAATAGGCGCAGCGAAACGCACGAGGCGGCAAACGAAAGAACGCGACGAGACGCTTCAGATGAGTACTGTAAAGTTGAATTTTGAGGTCACAGGTTGGGTCAAGGTCAGGTCAAACACCTGAAATCGGGCTTTCAGTAGCATGGACTTCAGGACTTCGCAATGGGCGCCTCTCGTCATAAACTCTGTCAAAATGGTGCACAATCCATCATATAAGGCCTACAAGAGTGTCAGCTCCATGTAGGGGTCAGTCAAGCATAGGTCAGGGTCAAGGTCAGGGTTGAAAAGATTGAAAAGAGCGCGAGCTCAAATTGGGATCCGAAAACATTGTCCGTTATCCCACCAAGGAAAAAATCAGTTTCGATATTAAGTGAACACAGAAGGCCGTATACGTTTAGGTAGGCAGATCAACACTGTACCGCACATAATAGCAGAAAGCAATAGCCCTATTACAAGAAACGAATAAAAAACGAGGGGTAGGGAGCTATATGCCCTCTGAGTTGGATTGGTGTCCCTTTAGGGAGTGTCGCCTTACAACGACCTGCCGCGGTTGAAGACCGCCTTATTCTCCTTTGCCTGCGGACCCGGCCTCCCTCGGCAGTCTGCGGGCTGCACCGGAAACAGACTATATTTAGCATCCGGCACGCTGAAGCTATTTATATAACTACATGGCTGCTTAAGTGACGCCGCCGCCTTCCCGTTACGTTACTCGGCGGCGTGACGGCTCGTCCCGTCATGGACTGTCACACGGGTGCCAGCCGATATCTCAATTATTGTCACAGGCTCTGCAGGGACGATACATGTTTTACAAGTAACAAGTCTCATCTTACATGCACCTCTTGGTGCTAAGCATGCAATTGAAATACCTACTCATATAAGATACCCATGCTGCAGACTTGCAGAATGTTTGCAAGTATAGATAGCCACTTTAAAAACCGCAATAAGTGACTTTGGAAAACAACCAATTATTGTGTCCGGCATCACCTTTTCTTCAGAAGAAAACTTGATTTGCTACATAGGACCTAAGCTCAGAATCTCTGCTGTTCTGAAACTGCTGAATAATGTCAGTTTTATGTCAAACTTTGTCCACGGAAACTTAAGTGGCAAGATTTCTCCCTGCCTGGACGCATGCCGGCTGTCGTTTATCCGTGGAATCTTTCCTCATTAGGGGGACTCGGACAGCGTAGAGAAACTCCCTTGTGTTTGAACGCTCTCACCCGTGGCTTACACCGGTAACAAAAAGTTAACCCCTTTGGAGACGGAACTAGGTTGGCGTTATAATACTTTGTAAACGGATTATCATTTCCTTCTTTATTGCCATCTGGGGATGTCTTTTGCTTATTACCCCAAAATTGAACATTTTCCGGCTCAGATGTGAGATTGGGTGATCCGTGGCGACCAATTTCTCCTCGGGTCCCGCGGCCATTGTTGAGCATTTCCGATCCGCTTCAATCCCCTAAAAAACTGGGCCACACGGGCCCAGGCGGTGGCCGGTGAGTCACCCCGGGATACCTGACCTACAGTCCTCCGCAGCGCGGGGCCAACATAAATAAACTGAGTAATATGCGTGATTGTGCCATTTGTGGGACAGTTTTTTAATTAGGCTGGACGTCTGTCGGTGATAACTATTCCCGATCGGCCGGTAGGTACTAACCAAAGACCAGGAAATTCGCGCACACATATACTCGTACCTACTCTTAGAGCCGGTGGTCTGGCTTCAGGGATACACCCGTGAGAAAATACTTAATCGAGTACATAAATGTCTCGAAAATACATAAACTGAAATACATAAACTCAATAATCAGTAGGTACGCTGCAAGCACACTCTTGAGCCTTGGAGATACAGAAACGTTTCGTGATATTGTGCCATTTTCATTTATTATGTTTGTTGTTTACCTTTTCCTACATCCGCAGCAGCGACCAACATTGCTATTGCGTCTGCCCAGCCCGCACGGCTCAATTCGTGTGTGAATATTCACGGCGTAGGCTACCGCAGGCTTTGTTCACGCTCTATAAAGGTAACTATGAACTCAGTGTGCCAAACTGACCGCGTCACCCTGCCAATTAGCAGCCTGCCAGCTCTCCTATGTATTTTATTAGGCATAGATGGTTCTTTATCTCTCCGAGGTAAGTTCAGAATATGTTTTCCAAGCGGGTTACTTAGAATTGCATCTCAGAGAAGTGCGAGATGGAAATAGTTATGCACTGCAGGCCCAATGACATAAACATCTACACATACCTAGAAATAAATGTGTATTTCATATATCTTACGCTGAGTCACGTTGTAGGCTGCACGATACGGTTGGAACTATGCAGCTATCAAGCGTCTGTCGCGACATTGGCCTAGATGTCCACTCACGCATGCTACTACACGGTGCGTCTTTTACATCTCATTGTCAGCGTTACAAAGCTGAAGGTCATCTGCCTCGTTCAAACGACGTCGTTCATTGTTCGCTTTGTGTTGCGATGCAAAGTGTCGCCTAGTATATCTATCTGCGCTGATAGTACTACGTGGTTCATTCAGTTTTATCAGGCAGACGTGTAACACCCAGTCTATCCTATAGCTTACATATTTGTTTGAATGTGGTTCAGAGGTTCGGCTATGACATTTTTTTTTTTTTTGCTCCGCCAGCCTAAAGCCAGTCTGGAGCCGGGGGTCATTACCATTTACAGAATCTGCTCGTGCGCACGCACAGATGCATGTACTTATGTATGGTTAGCAGGGTCGCGGAAACTACTTTCAGACTGGGGGGGGGGGGAGCACACCATAATAGAGATCAATCTAGGGTTCCCCCAAATCCAGTTTTCTCACCGGTTTTAGGCCACTTATTTTTCATCCCTTGGCTTCTTCAACAAAAAGAAAACATTTGTAATAAAGTGCAGCATTCCGTCTCAAAGTTGTGGGGGCACCGCCCCTCGTCACGGCCAGAGTTGGGGGGGGGGGGGGGAGCTGCCCCCACTACCCCCTCCCCACGGTTCCCGCGCCTTTTATGATTATCTGCCTTCAAAATCAATGAGTGTTCATCAAGAGTAAACAGCACCAAACCGAGGGTAGGTAATATGCAAAGCTTTTATACCTGGTGATAAAAAATGCGTTACATATCGATTCGGGACACAGGGAACTTAGTAAACCAATCAATCTCTTTAGTGTAGAGGAATGTTGGCTGAATCAATCGTCTTTTGGGGTTAAATCATCAATCATGACACAAAGCCAGTCTCTGGTCTATCACTGTTGCTGTCTCTGGGTCTATTGCCCTGTCGCCCACTTCCCCGCCTCCGCCACTCACCGGCCACTGTCCTGGCGACGTCGTAGAAGTTGATGCCGCGGCCGACGGCTCGACTCCGGCTGACCACGTCCTCGATCTGACGCTGCTTCTTCATGACGGCCTCGAGCCGATCATTGAGGTCACCGAGGTCAGCCTGGGTCACGGCCGCCAGCAGCGTGGTTAGCAGCACCGCCGCCGCCACCCGGCGCACCAGCCTCATCGCGCCCCGACCTCTGCAACAGAGAGCACGGTCAGCCGGGGTCAGTGGCGGTGGGGGACACACGGTAAATACGGACAGGGCGAGAAGTGGTGTAAGCCGCATGGCGCACCAGACACCTTTATCAACTGGCTGACGACGTGTTGCAAAGTCAAACGAGTTGGTGTACGACAAGGGGATGCATGGATATACAAAAAAAAAAACATTATACCTACCTAAAAGATCTTATCAGCACGTTGTTGAATCAAGTGAAGAAGTCCGATAACTCAAGGGGAAAGATTAACAGGTTCCACCCATGTGGTTTCCAACCGTCTAAACCCAGATAAGTTCGACGGGAGAAGAAATGTAAGGGATAATGTCTGAGTGAAATCTTCTAGAGGCATTTTATTATGGCTTTTGTTGCAGGAAGCTTCTTGTTGATAAGCTGGAAAGAACATGACGAGCATGATGTTATGCATGCGAAAAAAACCGATGGCAGATAAATACATTGTTGTCGGATTCCAACGCCCTTGGAGAAATTGCTCTTGACTGAGATATCCAGGACTGATTTGATATAGCAGAACCTACTATAGAATCACTGTTCCGGTCCGTACCTGGTCTTTCTGTGTCTCACTCAGTCCCGGACCGCTTCTCTGCGCGGCTGCTAAAATCCCGCGCGGAGAGCCGCCTCTTCAGATTCACACTCGTCGGTGACCGTCCCTCTTCTCCGGTCCCTTCAGAGGCGCCTGACACCCTGCACTCCTTCTCACACCCGACTATTGCACCAGCGCTGTCTCGCACACCACTGCGAGCCGCCGCGACCGCCGTGCGTCACCCCACCCTCACCGCCGGACGAGGCGCGTCTGACACCGTTCGGCCCTCTGCGACCGCGCGCTGCCGACCTCCGGCCTGACGTCCGTTTTCGCAACGGCGCAGCGCGTCCATCGGCGGCAGCGGCCCGTGACGCCGGTGCTGAAAGGAGCCACCCGCCTCTGGGCGTCTGCTGCCACCCCGTGACGTCATGGTCGGCCACCGGCCTGCATCGGAGCACCTTTGTTTCGTCCCACCTTGACACCGACGGCGACGGACGGGGGCGACGGGGGCGGCTGCTGAGGGCGATATCCGGATAGATTACCGGGGAGAATAGGACCCCGCTGACCTTCCCTGGAGGGCTATTGTGCGCCGGGGGTGGACGGTGGGGCGGCCCGCCGCCTCGGTCACGGCCGGGGCAGGTGACCGTGTCAACAGGTCAGCCGTGTCGGTGGCTCTGGGGCAGGATGTCCGTCCGTGCGCCGCTGGGCTGCCGGAGACTGCGGCGGAGACTTGGCCGCTAACACCGCACCGGCCGCCACGGATACGGCGCGGGGAGCACCGTCGCTGACGAACGCCGGTGGGTGCAGAGACGACGGCACGAGGAGCCGATAACTGGCGCTGGTAGCTGCATTCAGACCGGGAACTCAGACCCGACAGTGTTGGATCTCCTTGACTCCTTTTGCCTGATCTTGGAAGGCTCATATTCCTAACGATACTGTTTGGAAGGTCTGTTACTATGCCGAAAAGTTTGCATTCTTTCCGTGGTGCTTATGCGGAGATGTGCGAATGTGGTCGGGTGGAAGCCGCAGGCCCCAGTTGCTTTTGTACTTTGCTCTTTTGCTTATTTTTGTCCTTTTATCTTACCAAATAAGCAGGAGCATGCATGTCAAATGCTCATCCTTTGTGCATCTGCATGATTATGCTTACGTGGTTATTCTGGTTCTGGTACACTTATTAAAAAAGTTGTTTTGAAAGACCGCGGTGCTAATAGCCAGACTTCTAACGAGGATGAGTATTGTTGGGGTTTGTTGAGTAACGATTGCCGCACTGGGAGCACACTGCCGGTCACGGGTCTTGCCGTAATCAGCATTGGCCCATCCCCCCAACCAACAACGGGCCCGGTGAGCGGTCCTGATGTGTATATCTGAACTGGTTACTTTCCACTGTTTGTAAATGCAACATACCAGGAAATCCATCAGGCCTCGTCAATTGCCCCACGCTCATTGCATACATGATAAGCCAAAATACCATTCACAGAGGATGATTTTCAACGGACAAAATGTCAAAAGCACGGGAGTGATGGATACACTTTGTGTGTGTTCTGTGTACCTAAATAACAGGCTTGTCCGACAGTTGACCAATTCCCTCATTTGTTTATGTGATCCATGATTATCTGGGACGACCCAAAGCCGGCCGGATGGGCTGGTTACCATGGTAACGGGACGCACTCTGTCAGCGGAGGGCGGCGGGACGAGACGGGTCGCCGCTGCTGGCGTCACGCCGTCTGGGCTCACGACGGTGCCAGTGGCGGGCAGCCGCGTGCACTCTGCTCAGGGTGGACGCACTCAACTGGCACCGCGGGATGAAAGGTTACCGGAAGCGGCCGGGCACTTTCCAAATATGATTGGGGTGACACGCGCGCCCGTTCGTGCGCGAGGAAGCAGTGCGCGCTGCCCGCTCACGGCGTGCGCTCACTCACGCAAAGGGGTGTGTCTGACGTAACTTGTGAAAAATACGAATGCGTGACATTTGTGATGTGATGTGATCGAAACTGGTTTGAGGCAAACCGGAAGCAAGCCTTTTGTGTTCACACGGACGATTTCTGAACAATGGAAAAAAACATCAGGATTGAAGTTGATTGACGAAACATATTAACATCATGGATAAATATGGTTTTCACTAGCCATTGTAGCAAATATCCCGTTCCTTGACACCAATACAAGCATAGCAGTTGTGTGCCATCCCGTAAGTCATTGGCAATACTCACCCACCCATCTATGTATCTCCACAAGGAGCTCAGATGGGTGTCTCGTCTCCCCAACCATTGCCGCTGCCCGGGCCGCGGTGTCACAGGGTGTCCATTACGAGGGAAAGTGGCGCGTGTCAGAGGTTCGTCCCAGCAGTGCTGACCTCGTACCCACGCACAGGGGCGCCGCCGGCAGTGCCGCCGCCGACTTTTTGTGCGCGCAGTTTCACTTTCGTTTGCGGCGCGCGCGCGCGTGTGCTGACCTTCAGAGCACCCTGTCCCCCGTGCGGTACTGGTCAGACTGTCCCGACCTGACCGGCCTTTTCCGGGACTGACCAATAGCGGCCTCTTCCTGCCGGCCGGAGGTGACGACACCGGCCACTTTCGCTTCCCACAGCTCATTAGAGACGCGGTCGTTGATGATCAGATGGAAGGCGAATGGTCTACAGACGCCATTCTGTGTTTCACGCTGCCCTCACAGTGCGGTGGCTCGAAATTGGTGTTGATGCTGTTGTGGACCTTTAGCGCTGTCCCAGAAGATGCATGGCGATGTTGCTTGTGAGGCCTCGAGTTTTGGTGTGCTTTGAATAGTGCATATTGCGTCTGACACAAAAATCAACGCGATAAATCATTCCGCACGGCACCGACCGTTCCTCGCATCTCTTGTTGTAATAGGTATAGTCTTGATCCCACTTTACACAGTAGTTCAGACAATGGAATGATCATAAGGGCTGGACTTTGAGCTACACAAGGAGCCTGACATAGCTTGGAGCTCACGTTTAAGTCGTACCTTTGTTGTGACTTTTGATCATACTTGTAGGCAACGAATTCAAACATCATCATGAAGCTGCAGGTGAAGACATCGACATGATGACATCATGCTTTACCAACCACCGAATGATGCGCCGCAATGACCCCTCCCTCAGCCCATCCCGTTGAAACGGGATTTTCCGGTTGGTGTAGGTCACCGAGCATCTCAACCTGTCACCGCGGAGGTGGCCGACCCCTTTGGGGTCCCCAGCCTGGTTCTAAAGGTGTCTGGACGTTGAAACCGCCATCCCGGACAAGGTAAATCAAGTTTTTTTTTTATAAATTGGCTGTGAACGGGTAGATCCTTGAGGATGTATATCATGTATCATGGAAATACCAGATCATAGACCATGACTCACAAACCATGCATCATGCACAAAAATAGCCCTAGCCTTACATAATCGTGAAACGAGCATGCCAAGCAACGGTAACCACTAAAGGCCTTATCGCGCCAACCCTGCGGTATTTGGTGCTTGCATGCCTGGTAATTTAAATGTACGAATTATATGCTTTCTAGTCGTACAGTTCCACTCAAATAAGCCTCCATTCAACGGCGAAAGTGAGTCCTGACCAGCCGCCCATACAATGAGAGGCGGTACCAGGCTAGCCCACTGGGGGCACACAGCAAAACATGGGCTATGTCGGCGCTGGCGGGTCGGCGCGGGACTGGGCGCGGTGAACACATCACAAAGGAAACACAGGAAGTCGCAGCCGGAGGAACGGGTGCTTTACTTTGCGATGGTTATATTTTATACCATCACTTCACACCTTTTCACACTAAGTACTTCATCCGATGCAGGTTTCGGACTCCTATTCGCGATGCAAGTCATCCTGTGCAAGTGCCACTTTTTCAATGGGATGCAACGCCTCATGTTTTACGGACTGTGTATCACATGCTCAGCTTAGACGCTGTGTCTTGTGTTGTAGGTAAGGATTTACCGTCACGCGTCCTCGACACCAATAGATCAATTGCCCCTTGACACCAAGACCCAGCGCATGACAATACCAAGCACACCTCCTGTTTCTTTTGCCAGCTTCTCTCTTCTGTCAATAGAGCTGAACCCACCTGGAGCATCCTCCACAACCTTTCCTGTCTGACCTGGACTCCCAGCCCATGCAACTGTTCAGTGACCATCTGACCATCACCCCCAGGGCTATCAAACATTGCTGCAGTGACAGACTCCTCAGCGGCGCGGTGCGCGACTCGCTGGATTTCTCCGCGCCCCGTCGCCGTCCCGTTGCGTCAGAGCCTGCGGCACCGCCAGGCTGGCCGGTGCCGGGGAGCGGTCTCAGCGGACGCGATTTCTCTGCCCCGCGGCAGGAGTTGGGGCCGCAGCGCGCCACTGGCCGACTCGTGACAGTCACCGGGCCTTCCTGTCAGCGCCGCTGGCGATCACGTGGGGTACCGACGGACGGTGCAGCCGGCAGAGGCGAGACGGAGGAAGGTG